CTGCCTCAGCCTTCCAAAGTGCTGGGATTACAGGTGTGGCCAAGGATTTAAATTAAATGTATTTTACACTGATTTTCTTTTCTGTCTTAAGAATACATTGTATGAGAAATGTACACTTTTGTTTTTGCTTTTCCAAAGAAACTCAAAGATACCACACTCAGGACTTAGAAAAGTAATGTTGATAGGAGGTTATAATTTCAGCCCTTGAGTAGGTATGAAGGTCGAAGTTCTGTTGCTGAGTTTGTGATGTGCTAAATGTCATGATGCTGGGTTCTCACTCCTGTCTCGTCTGTTGTGACCCACCTATTTCTGTCCTTGTTCTGGCATGACTTAAGGATTAAATGGTCCTAGTATTAATTATAGTTACTGATTCTCCTGCTCTTATGTTGTACATAAGGGTTTTCAAAATCCTTTTAATTGTGACAAAATACCATACAAAATTTATTATCTTAATCATTTTTAAGCATATAGTTCAGTGATACATTCACATGGCTGTGCGACCATCACTACCATCCACCTCCAGAACTCTTTATCTTGCAAAACTGACACTCTGTCTCATTAAACAGTGACTGCCCATTCCCTCTCCCTCCAAACCCTGGCAGCCACCATTCTACTTTCTGTTTCTATGCATTTGAGGACTCTAGGTACCTCATATAAGTGAAATCATAACATCATTGCCCTTTTTGTGATTGGGTTATTTCAGTTAGCATAATGCCTTCAAGGGCCATCCATGTTGTAGCATGTGTCAGAATTTTCTTCTTTTTTAAGTCTGAATAATATTCCATTGTAAATATACCACAGTTTGATTATCTAGTCATCTGTCCATGGACACTTGGGGTGCTTCCACCTCTTGGATGTTAGGAGTAATGCTACTGTGAGCACAAGAGTACAAATACCTCTTTGAGATCCTTCTTCCAATTCCTTTGGATATATGTCTAGAAGTGGAATTATGAATCCTATGGTAGTTCTATGTTTAATTTTTTGAGGAACCACCATATTGTTTTCCACAGTGGCTGTGCCACTTTACATTCCCACCAACTACATACATTGCTTGAAAAGATGACAGTGTAATTCAGTTACAATTTTAGACTCTTTTTAAAGTGAAATTCCTTGACCAGAAACCTCAAAAACATATTGACCGTCCATATGGAAATAGTGTTAAAGATGTGGAAATCTTAAACAGAGAGCTATGGTAATGAAACTAAACTCCCCAGCATTTACTCAGTTGATTCCATGCTACCAGGTCCAGTGTATAGAGACTATCTGCAGGTCTACACAAGGATCTAGAAGAGGCATTTTGCTTTCTAGAACATTCTATACTGTTTTTCAGTTATTTGACTTTCAGTCCTCAAGCACTTCAGATTAGCCACAAAGGCAAACTTGCAGGAAAAACGATATGGAAAAATCAGTAAAAGACATATATGGTCAGATATATAGTCAGATGCATCTGGTGCTTCCTCCAGCAAAGAGAAAAATATGGGGAAGTAAATACTAGTGTTGATTTAATCAGAAACTAGAACAGATCTTAAGATGAAAAATATGCACAATCAATATTTGCTGAATGAATGTTAATCCATAAAACAATTTTTGCTAAATTCAAAACAAACACAAATAATATTGTTATCCTACAAAGAAGGTGTTCCATCTTATTTAAAGTTTAGTGATTTATGTACAAAAATATTTGGTCTAAAGAATAGCTTCATTAAGACATAAAGGCATGAAAATTCTGACCAAAAGTAAAAGAACCTTGCTAAAACCATATTACTTGAGGAATACTACCAATGATCAATAATAAAGGTTTATATTTTCATTATTTTTGATCGCCAGGTGTTGTATTTAAATTAAATCATAACACATTATAAAAGTGAACACATGTAAAAAGAATAGGCTGGCTTCTTCTACTTCAGGAATACCATTTGCCCATAAGGCTCTAGTATGAAGATTTATAATTAGTGATACCTCATATAGTATCCCATTAATTAATAAAACAAATTGCGCTAATACTGTTCCCCAAATATTCTGTATTCCAACATTTTTTCTTAAGGCAGACTAGGCTTTCTTCAAATTAGTTAGAGTTAGTGACCTTTGCTTTAAGTCAAGCATATCTTTTATTTAAAAAAATTTATTGGCCGGGCGCAGTGGCTCAAGCCTGTAATCCCAGCACTTTGGGAGGCCGAGGCGGGTGGATCACGAGGTCAAGAGATCGAGACCATCCTGGTCAACATGGTGAAACCCCATCTCTACTAAAAATACAAAAAATTAGCTGGGCATGGTGGCACGTGCCTGTAATCCCAGCTACTCAGGAGGCTGAGGCAGGAGAATTGCCTGAACCTAGGAGGTGGAGGTTGCAATGAGCCATGATCGCGCCATTGCACTCCAGCCTGGGTAACAAGAGCGAAACTCTGTTTCAAAAAAAAAAAAATTATTGAGATATCATGATTTGGAGAAATTAAAAATTCATGCTCAGCTAAACACATTGCAGTTAATTTTAAAATCATACCATTTAGCAATAGAAATGGTTGAGTGACTTTTTTTAAAGTCCCACTCTGGGGAAGGCCAGTTTGTAGATAAACAGCTCATACCCAGCAGCGCTGCCTAGCTAATGCCTAACCTGTGGGAGCAGACTGGAAGCAGCTCAAACTAATGAGGTTAACCTACATAATCTAATCACCCAGCAAAAAAAAAAAAAAAAAAAAAAAAAAGAAACAGACAAAAAGCACAGAGCCAGAAAGCGTTCATTTCTAATTTTTTTCTGGCTTTTGTATGCCAGAGCATCACCAAGTAGAAGATAAGTGTCCTTTTCCCACTGTTTCTAGGTCTTCTTCTGATCCACGTGTTACATTTCTCCCAGTTAACTGACTGGCCGCAGGCAAGATACCTTTTAACACAAGATCAGCACTAGATGTTCTAAAGAGTCACTTCCTGGCCGGGCGTGGTGGCTCACGCCTACAATCCCAGCACTTTGGGAGGCCGAGGCGGGTGGATCACTAGATCAAGAGATCGAGACCATCCTGGTCAACACGGTGAAACCCGGTCTCTACTAAAAATACAAAAATTAGCTGGGCATGGTGGCGCAGCCTGTAGTCCCAGCTACTCAGCTAGCTCCTCGGGAGGCTAAGGTAGGAGAATTGCTTGAACCCAGGAGGCGGAGGTTGCGATGAGCCGAGATCACGCCATTGCACTCCAGCCTGGGTAATTAGAGCGAAACTCTGTCTCAAAAAAAAAAAAGAGTCACTTCCTATTGGCAGGGTGGCTTCATCTCGTCTTCCTCTTACCCAAGCCCCCACTGGAAGGGAAGCCTAAAAGGCTGCAGCCGAAGACATAGCTTGTCCTCCTTCCCTCAGGGAGGCCTGCAAGATCCCTAAGCTCCCAAAGAGGCTCAACGTTCTCCTTGTAATTCACCGGTTTCTAGAGATTGACTCCATTGTAAACTGGCCAAGGTGGCATGCACGTGGCTGGAATCCCAGCATTTTGGCAGGCCAAGGCCGGATCATGTGAGGTCAGGAGTTCAAGACCAGTTTGATCAACACAGTGAAACCCTGTGTCTACCAAAAATACAAGAATTAGCTGGACATGGCGGCTCACACCTGTGATTCCAGCTACTTAGGAGACTGAGGCAAAAGAATCTCTTGAACCCAGGAGGCAGAGATTGCAGTGAGCTGAGATCCTACCACTGCACTCCAGGCTGGGTGGCAGAGCAAGACTCTGTCTAAAAAAAAAAAAAAAAAAAAAGATTGACTCCATTATAAAATCCTTCCAGAGATGTTTAGAGTGAAGAGAGTTGCTGGGAAAACCAACTAACCTTTACTACTTAGAAAAAAATGCATACTTTAGTGAAATTTGGAGAAGATCTCTCTGAAACTACTACATTTGGTCATATTCCTTGTGGGGTCAGACAAATCTCATTTTGTGCAAAGTAGAAATATACTGTTTCATTATATTATATACATGTTCATTATAAAAGCCTTCAGACAAGAGAGGAATGTATAGAGAAAAGAAAGTATGGTTCTACCACTCAGAGGGAACAACTGTTAGTGTTTTGATATAAAGCTTTCTAGATTTTTTTTATGACTTTAAAAACATTCAGATAACTATAGGGCATTAAAAATAATAGAATCAGATTATACACACTATTTTATACTGTGCCTTTTTACAGAATTTCTATATGAACAGGTATACATTTTCATTATAATTTTTAATTGCTTCTTAGTATTCATTGTATGTGTACCATTTATGGTTATTTCTATTTTTTCATGAATAGAAGGATGTTCTTATATGTTCTTTTACCTCTGTTTTCTTGTTTCTTTGCTATGAATACTTAAAATGGAATTGTGTAAAGGAGTATGTACTTTTGTAATTTTGATAATAATTACAAATAATTTGATAATTTAAAACAGTTGTGTCAATTTCCTTGCCCACTAATATTGTGGGTGAGTGCCCATCTCTCCACACCATTAGAAGTCATACAGATTAAAGACTGGGTACAGTGGCTCACACATGCAATCCCAAGACTTTGGGAAGAAGCGGCAGGAGCATCACTTGAGACCAGGAGTTCAAGACAAGCCTGGGCAACATAGCAAGACCCTGTCTCTAAAAAAAAAAAAAAAATAGCTAGAAATGGTGATGCACACCTATGGTCCCAGCTACTCCAGAGGCTGAGGCAGGAGGATTGCCTTAGTCCAGGAGTCCAAGGCTGCAGTGAACTATGATCCACTGCACTCCAGACTGGGTGACAGTAAGACCCTGTCTAAATAAATAAATAAAAAAAATGAAAGAAATCATGCAGGTTAAAAAAAGAAGTGATGTTTCAGAGGGCACATACTTTATGAGTTTAAGGTCATCAAAGGCTTTTTGTGGGCGCAGAGGTATTCCTGACTGCTGAAAAGGTCACTGTCTTCTAATTAGTGCATTCATTTGTTTGCCTGAGAGTATAACTCAGGTTTCCCTTTTACAGACCACCGTCATATTTTAAACTCTCTGCATGTGTTCCTTTCCTTTAGATTGAGGAAGACACGTGGCAGAAATACTACTTGGAAGGAGTCTCAAATGAAATGTACACAGAATATCTCTCCAGTGCCTTCGTGGGTCTGTCCTTCCCTACTGTTTGTGAGTAAGTGACCATTAACTGGATGCTCTTTGGCTCTCAGGGATATGGAATGTGCCCCTTGAAAGAAAGCCTCCCATCTCTGCTCAGCACAGCTGGAGCACTCAACAATTGCCGAGGGTGTCCCATGTGCTTGGCCCCCTGTGATGAACAGGAAGGCGGGTCATTACATGGTCTCTGCCTGGGGGATTTCCACTGGCCTCACTTTTCTCAACAGGCCTGATAGTCTTGGACTTGGATGCATTGTTTATGCTAACTTATGAACTGCAGTTATCCTGTATGCCTCCTGTGATGTAGACACATTTATGAAGAGTGGCATGAAGCCCTATCTTTCTGATTCTAATAGGGCAAAACAAATCTTTCCAGTCCTTGGATGAAAGGAATTTTAATCTGTCTTCCAATCAAGTCTAATCATAGAGCCAACAAAGAAGCTACTGAAATAAAGCCTTTCGAAGTGTTTTCACCCTTTGCTGAGGAAATGTGGAGCCAAATGTACAGAAGGAGGCGTTGAGCCCCCACATGGACAACTGTCATGTTATAATAAGTCTTAGCTTCTTTTTACACTGGCTCGGCAGGATGGATCAAAGCCACCCACCATGGCCACTGCAGGTAGAATAGAGGTCACCTGGGGGGGGTGACCTCAAGAGCCCCAGGTGTCTGCCGTGAGGCATTATGGTGCCTCATATTCCCCACTTAGAATTCTCATGTCTGCAATCCCAGCACTTTTGGAAGCTGAGGAGAGGGATCACTTGAGGCCAGGAATTCAAGACTAGCCTGGGAAACACAGTGAGACTCTAGCTCTACAAATATAAGGAAAATTAGCCTAATGTGGTGGCACACACATATGGTCCTAGCTACTCTAGAGGCCAAGGAAGGAAAATTGCTTGAGCCCAGGACGTTGAGGCTGCGATGAGCTGATTACATCACTGCACTCCAGCCTGGGCAACAGTGAGACCATGTCTCTAAAATTAAAAAAAAGAATCTCAGATGTTGAGTTTAAGATGAATGGGGGCTTTGTGCTCTCTGAAAACACAAATTCCCTGAGAATGGTGACACATTAAGCCTGATCTCTTGACACCTTCACAAAGGATTTGACAAGGATGCTCCTCACTGGGAAGAATTGGGGATCTGGGAGCTCACTGGGCTGAGGAAGAAAAACCATTTGCTTGCACTTCCTGCCTACTTACAAACCAAAGCACCTTGCTGAAAGAGAGGTCTGAAGACATCGAAAGAAAACCGATCAGGTTTTACCATGAAGGAGAGGACAGTCCTGGGTGCCCTTGGCCTCCTCTGAATCGCGGTTTTCTTTCTGTATGCAGGAGGGAGGGAAATGGACCATTGGTGGCTTCCTGTTTACCTGGAGCCTCCTGTCACTGAACACAGCAGGTGCACTCTGTCAGTCCCTGGGCCCAGACCCTAAGCAATCCAAAATGGTTTGGCTGTTTACAGAAATTTCTCACCCTGTCTCTAAGCGAAAGTTTAAATGCTAAATGGACTGGAAAAGTGAATAGGTAATTGATTCGGAAGGAGTTATTTTCTGAAAATGGATGCCCTATTGTGACTCCCATGTGAGCCTTTCTTTGAGAGTGATTTCTCTTTCTGCCACCGAGAGGAGTTAACCATTCAGAAGCACTGGGTTCTGGAACACTGAGGCTGTCCCAGGGGATCTCCTCTTTCTTGGAGCTTGGACTGCCTAGGATAGAAGCCCCGTGGGAAAGCAGGCTTTTTAACGGAAGCAAATGAAGCCTTGTCTGTCTAATGTAGTAGTGGTCCGAGCACATAGCAGAGGTGCTAGTGTCTGCAGGGAGTCATGCTGGTGAGGGCGTCTGCAGGGGTGTCGTGAAGCCCCCTTCCTTGGCTGTGTGGTTTCCCTGGCCTGGTGTTTGTGTCTAACAGGCATGCTGTCTCCAAACTCTCCCAGCCCTTCTTGCTTTCCTGCTCTTCTCTTATTCTGCTCTTGGGAACTGAGTTGGTTCCTCTTACAGGTATTAACTTGGAGGGTTAGGACTGCTCCCACTATAGGCTCTAACTGGGATACTCGCAAGGTATGTTCGACTCACAGTTGCCTAACATAGTGTCTAATTTCATAAAAACTAGTTGCTGATATTTCAAAATAGTGGTATTTCACATAAAAACTAGATTTCTGGCTTCTTTAGAAAATCTAATGTGACAGTGCAAGACCTGCATTTCCTCTGAATGCTAACTCTCTCCAGTTTGATGTAGCAAAGGGGTTAGTATAGTCATATAGTCACTCCTCCCTGATATCTGAAAGCAGGCCAGATTTGCACATAAATCCCAGGCCTGGTCCTGTGGCTCTGTGAGTTTGCCAACCCTGACCCACTGGGTGGTGTGGAACTTCACTGGCCTTCAACCAGCTCAAGAGCTGGCACTAGTAGCTCTATGAATATTTCCTTTGATTGATTTTCATATTTAGAACATGTCCCAAGGAGGAGACAGATTGTTGTCAGAGAATTTAGTATTTGCTCGGTAAAGCTTCTGATATATATATCCCACTTCTGATGTGAGTGAGAATGTGTACGACTTAGTGCTATTATTCGTTTAATACAATGATACAGCAGAGGTAGGAATGATCAATAAAGGAAGGACATTTAATGAGATTTAGGAACATCCCAAAACATTGAAGCTCTCCTCAAGCATTTGATTATCTGGGGGCTTAATTATCTGTGTTTTCTACTTTAAATTAAAGAAAAGCCATAACTCAAAGTTACCAGCAGTTTAATGATAACACTCTTCAATTCAGGTTAATTAAAGCACAGCCGTAATTAGAGGGTAGTGTTGTATATCACCGGGCTGGCACATAAGTATTTTCATTACAGTAAGAATTGGCTATTCAATTTCAAAATGACATAAAGGACGCCAAAATATATTTTAAGCTGGTTCACAGGGAAGAAAAAGAATTGGGGAATAGTCTGAGTATCATAAAGCACAGACAAAATATACAGATTTTCAGAGCAGTTTCTGTAATTATGCACTGCACTAAAACAATATGCAACCAATAATATCTTAAAGCATGGAAAGAAATAAATTTACTTTTTCTCTGTGCTGGCAAAATGTCCCCTTTCAGAGTGGGATTCGGAGAGCTTGGAGTTTTCTCGGAAGCTAGGAGAGTCATTCTATGAAAGATATGGGAGCAGGATGTAGGGGTGAAATTTGGGGTTATTTCCCAGGCGAACAGGAAGGGGAGCAAAAGAGGCAGTGGGGGCAGAAGGTTCTGCCATCCCAAAAGCTATCTCTATCAATATTTCAAGCCAAGAGATTCTCAGTGTAGCCTTTAGTCTGTGCTCGAAGGCCCAAGAGCCCCTGGGAAAGCACTGGTGTAAGTCCAAGAGTCCAAAAGCTGAAGAACTTGGTGTCTGATGTTCAAGGGCAGGAAGCATCCAGCACTGGAGAAAGGCGAAGGCCGGAAGACTCAGCAAGTCTAGTCCTTCCACATTCTTCTGCCTGCATTGTCCAGCCATGCTGGCAACTGATTAGATAGTGCCCACCAAGATTGAGATTCTCCCAGTCCACAGACTCAGATGTTAATCTCCTTTGGTAACACCTTCACAGATATACCCAGGAACAATACTTTGCATCTTTCAGTCCAATCAAGTTGACACTCGATATGAACCATCACAGGTGCTTACCCTCAATTTCCCTCTCTGAAATATAAGTACTATGATTTATCTGTCAGTACTGGTTAATGTCTTTTTTCCCTCTCCCTCCTCCCTCCTCTCCTTTTTCCTCTACCATTTATCTTTCTCATTGAATATAATAGAAGCACTTAGGAAGAAAGAAACACATTGTGAGCTATATGTGTGTCCAAGTTATATTTACTTTTAACCTTTAGGAAATTCTCTTACTGGTTAATCACCAATATTCAGAATTGGGATATGCGCACCATTGTGCCAGGCTTGGTGCCAATTCTAAAGGAAACTGCAGCTAGATTTTATCAAATATATGTGCATGAAAAGATCAATAGCAATACTTACAAATGCCAAGTAAAATATTCAGTTTCCCTAGGGTGGCTGCCTCCAGAATTTATAGCTTGGTGAGGGAGAATAGTATGCATCCTCAGAGTGACCTGGGCACTGACTGATAAGTGCTTTGGTAGATGCACACAGCTGGAATACAGATGCTAGAGTTATAGGGACATCTCCCCGTAGGCTGGGGAGACCAGGGGGTGCTTCCTGGAAGAGATGACATTTGAGCTGTGCCATGTTGGGAGTATGGATTCAGATGGGTGAATAAAGAAGAAAGAGTGTGTTCTAAGTGGTAGGAAATATGGAGTCTGGACCACATAGTACCATAGGGAGCTCTCTCAGCACGTAGGTCTCTGAGATTTTGCAGTTAGAGTAGATTGCTTTTCTCTTTGGATGAGAGAAGGAGATGCATCAGATTTATTTTGACTTGTGATGTTTTGGGGGGTGGGAATCAATAGCAGGGTTTTTTTTTGTGAGCACTTGCAAAAGTGAGGGTGCACTCCCCTATCCCCAGGGAGGGCAGAGGGGAGAGAAGGGGCTGGACAAGGAGGAGATGCAAAAACCACAGGCTGCCTCAAGAACACTTGTGTTCTAGGTGCTGAATCTCACAGTAAGCCTGTTAGTCAGTCATTCATCATTTGCAAAATATAAAAGCTTAATTGTATCTGGTTTTATAGCTCAGAAGGGATTAGGACAAAAGATGTGTTTAAAATATGGTGTGTGTCTCTCTCTGTCCCTCTGCAGCTGATGAAGCAGTTAAAATTCAGATTTGATGTGGAGTATTTAATGCCTGGGTAACTTGGGGAACTCCAATCAGATCTTCCTCAGCTGTGCTGAAGGGCAGGAGTTCTGTCCCTAAGCCCAGGGGCAAGTATGGATGCTACTGTGCTGTTTTAAGAGTGCAGGGGGGATTCTCCATTCCCTCTTCTACCTCCCTGCACTCAGTGCTCCCCACCCAAATTCAGAAAATCATGCTCTCAACCTGTGTTGTTTTGTGCAGACAGATCTTTAAAAAGAGGCCGC